ATGTCCTCGCTCATTTACCAGCTTCACATTCCTTATTGCCGTACAAATAATGGAAGGGCCTTTGCTATTGATGCCCCCAGGGTCTGGAATGCTATCGCAAATACACTGCAACTTGGATCACTACCTGTGCGATCTTCACTCAAAACTGCTGATGAGGAGCTGTACACCCCTAGCTGCCACGGCTATGTAATGGCTTGAAACCAAATGCATCGCTCCGGATGACCACTGCAAAGTATGATCTTGAGTTTTGATTATAGTGTGCTGATCTTTAAAGGTGTATTGAAAAATGTTGATACTCCTGCTGATACTCCTGTTGTAAAGGAGTGACTCATGCTGCCAGGTATGGCTACAAAGTTTGGTCGTACATGTTATGTATATCGTTTATTGTTAAATTTGAATCACAATTCCTATGATCACTGTTACATTGTTTTTATAGCTTAATTTTGGTGATTTCGAAAACGTATGGTTTAGCCATGTTTGTTTGTTGAAGTACAGAGTTAGCCTGATAACTTTAATCTAAATTGTCTTATGGTTGTTATTGTTATACTTGCATCCCACTAGGATTTTGGCACATAGCGTTGATATACGGTATTTTTTTCTGGAAGACTTTGCTTTTTCCTGGATTTTTCTGTTGCGCGTAGTCACTTTAAGATGTTCTTCGTTCATGTTTTTGTTTGTTGCGGTTGCACCCGAGTCAAGAGCCGCATGGCTGACAGTGCTATACCTAATAAGTGAACTGAACTGAACAATTCTAGATGGTGGTCTAAACAGAAAAAAGGCCACACGTTCAGTTCTATTGGAGCTCGTGGACTGGATAAGGCTGAGAGAATGTTGTACATGCAATGCTACACACCTTTGTGCGTTGATAAATGTGTCTGTTTCCAGCCCACTTTTATGTTTCTGTTGCAAAGGGTATCCTCGTCATTAACAGCTGTGAAAGGGTACGATTGGTTATCTCAGTATCATCACCCTGCAAGCAGAGATTTTAAGCTGTTGACCGTTGTGAATGACCTCAGCCATGCTATATACACTCTGTTCGGCCGGATCGAGGAGGCTAGGCGGGCGCGGCACGGGCTAGAGAAGAGATGGAGTGATGTGGTACAAGAGGATGTGGAGCTGAGTGGACTTGCCGATGACTGGTACCAGCGGTGTCAAGATCGGCCTCTGTGGAGGAGGCTCGTGAAGGACGTTGCTGGGCAGTTGGAGGAAGTCGCCCTCCAACAACAACGCAGGGCGGAGGAGCGACGCTCACAACGAGCGGAGCGCCGGGTGGCTAAAGCACAGCAAGTTGGCACAGTAGTGAGCACAGGTGGTGCATCAGCCACTCATCTCAGTCAGGCGACCAGTGGCATCTGGGTCTGCCCCGTGACCTCCTGCCAGCGGGCGTTCGACACTTCACGTGGCCTCAAGGTTCACATAGCCTGGCACAAGCTTCGTGGTGACGTGTTGTTGTTATAGTGGGGAGTGGTAGTGTAGTGGTTAGCGTGCTGCTCTTTGAACCTGGCGATCCAACTTCGATTCCCTCTCACGGCCAACATGAGTGACGATTATCTGAACCGGTCCTGGGTCTCTCCGAGGTCAACTCAGCCTCAAATTAGTACTTGGTACAGTGTGTAAATATCATCACCCACAAGACAAAGGCGGTAGGGAGTGGTGGTGGTCACCCACCCCCTCGTGTTCTGTTCCGGCCTTCATAGGTGCTTGCAAAGAGCACTTGCCCTAAAAGTCGGTTATGGCTATACGGGGATATGTCTTTATAAAGTGTGAATTTCAACTGGAAGGAATTTAGCAGATCTCTGCAATTTGATACCAACGGTTCGCTACAGATGTCGCATACGTGACAGAATGTTGCCCTCACCGAGGTCAACAAATCAGCCCCTATTTCTGAGCCGCCTAAATTCCCATGGACTGTTGTGTTGAATCTCTGTGTAAGGTCATGTTTATTGCCGTAGCTTATTTTTAAACCTATCAGCACCCATACCAGAATTAGGGTACAGTAGCGCGTCTCCCTGCTGCAATGCTGCCGTTAAAAACAATGTGGGTCAAATAAACTAAACAATGTTTATCTTACCAAGTAAGGCCCACTGAGCTATACACCTCTTTTTCACAAATGATAGCTCAACTAAGTAGCTCATCACGTGGAAATTTACAGCAAAAAAAAATACTCTAAAGGCATGTTTATAAATATGGAGGGGAAAACCGGAGGACCTAAAGAAAAGTCCAAATGACTACGGGGAGAGATAAACTCCAAATTTACAGCAGGCGTCAGGGCTGGGATCAAGCCCAAGACCTTCTATATACCCTGAGGATGCAGCATGCGACTAAGATGTGGCTGACATTGACCGATGCACCGCAGAGACATTTTAAGATGCGGCTGACACTAAGATGCGGCTGACACTAACATGCGGCTGACATTGACCGGTGCACCGCAGAGACATTTTAAGATGCGGCTGACACTAAGATGAGCTATAAAGCTATTTTTAAGAAATGTCCAGTTGTGGAGGGTCAGAACGTTACAAAAACAAACAATCGGAGTGTAAAGTAAAGGAAAGTAAAACAAATCACTCAAAAAACATACAAGTAAAACTAACGATGTTAATCTTACCAGGTAAAGCCCGGAGATATTTATTTTACAGAAGTGACCTGGCGACAAATGATAACTCAACAAAGTGGATTATCGCGTGGAAATTTATTGCAGAAAAATAATATAAATGCATGTTTCTAAATGTGTTATGTGTAAATGCATCGTATGGGCAGAATGGACATTTTAAACACCCACAGAACTACAGCTACAACTATATCTGTTCAAACAAATGTAATGACAGTAGAGTCAACCTACTGTGTGAATGAACTATGGCCATAGGAGGTAATGAAAGGGGAGTCAGCTTGCAGTACGGATGGACTAGTGGCGATGCGAGGTAATGACAGGGTAGTCAGCTTGCAGTACGAACGGACTAGTGGCCATGGGAGGTAATGACAGGGGAGTCTGCTTACAGTACGATTGGACTGGTGGCTACAGGAATGATCGAGAATAGGAGTGTGGTCAGGTGACAGAAGAGGATGGTAGAGTCTGCTGGTAGAGCGAGCGTCTAGTCTCTAGAAGGTTCGAAAATGGGGGCGTGGCCTCGGACCGGATACAAGGGAGATGCGGGGGAGACTCGGGGCTTTTGCAGTGGGGTCTCCGCCTGTTCAAGTGAACATACGTTTTTGGGCAAGTGCTGTTAGCGAGCACCTATGAAGGCCGGCACGGCACACGAGGGGGTGGGTGGCCAGCACCACGCCCGGCCATCTTCGTCACCCTTGTGGCGATGTTCACACACCGTACTAGGGAATCATTTTAGGCTGCGTCGACCTAGGGGAGGCCCAGGACCACACACACATACACACTACTCAAACAACACACAACTGCTCGAACACAATACGCAACTACAGTACCACACGCAACTGCAATCAAATGCAACCGTAACCACTGAAACACAACGGCAACCACACACATCTGCAACTGCTCAAACACACCTGCAATCTGCTTCTTGTGTTTAGTTTGTTACCCTCCCCCTACACCTCTGATTAGCACGGCTGGTTGTGTACGGTGCAAAAGAAGTTCAACCCACACACAAAAAACAGCCGTCCTTACACACACGACAAACACACAATAACCGCCATTCGCCACTAAGTGGCGGTGACGGCACCACGACGCTTGTGCCAGGCTATGTGCACCTTGAGGCCACGTGAAGTGTAGAACGCCCGCTGGCAGGTCACGGGGCAGACCCAGCAGGTGCCACGGGTCGACTGAGATGACCGAGATGCCTGGCTGATGCACCACCTGTGCCCCCTACTGTGCCAACTTGCTGTGCTTTAGCCACCCGGCGCTACGCTCATTGTTGTGAGCATCGCTCCTCCCCCCTCCGTTGTTGCTGGAGGGCGACTGCCTCCAACTGCCCAGTAGCGTCCTTCACGAGCCTCCTCCACAGAGGTCGATCTTGACACCGCTGGTACCAGTCATCGGCAAGTCCACTCAGCTCCACGTCCTCCTGTACCACATCACTCCATCTCTGCTCTAGCCCGTGCCGCGCCCGTTTAGTCCCCTCGATCCGGCCGAACAAAAGCTGTTTAGGCATGCGGTGGCTGGGCATGCGGTGGCTGGGCATGCGGTGGCTGGGCATGCGGTGGCTGGGCATGCGGTGGCTGGGCATGCGGTGGCTGGGCATGCGGTGGCTGGGCATGCGGGCTACATGACCCAGCCAACGCAGCCTTGCCTGCCGGAGGAGCTCACCGATGGGACTTTGCCCAGATCTTTCATGGATTTGTGAGCGCCTCACACAATCCAGCCTGGTTAAACCCAGCATGGATCGTAGGCAGGCCAGCCTAAATGTTTCTAACCGGCGAAGATGTTCCATTAGGGGGGTCCACGTTTCGCAAGCGTAGAGAAGGGGGAGGGAATGACTGTGGCCGAGAAGACCTAAAGCTTCGTGCGGAGCGATAGACCAGGTACAAAGACAAACATTCCCTAGTATACATCACGAGACCCCCAGTATAGCCTTAACAGACTGTTGGGGCAAGTGTTGTTCACAGTGAGCAACTATGAAGGCTGGTACGGCACAGGAGGGGGTGGGTGACCAACACCACACCCGGCCGCCTTTGTCTCCCTAGTGGCGATGTTTACACACCGCACCAGGTACTCATTGTAGGCTGAGTCGACCTAGGAGAGGCCCAGGACCGGTTCTGATAATCGTCATTGGTGTTGACTGTGAGCGGGAATCGAACTCGGGTCGCTGGGTTCGTCGCGCAGCGCGCTAACCGCTGCACCACCGCTCCCAGGCACACACACACTGGCTCACACACACAAACTACAACACACGTGGGCGGGAGGTCACGCAATGGACCCAGGTGCCACGGGTTGACCGAGATGACAAATTACAGTGCTGTGCAACCGCACAAACTACGACTGCCAACACCGCGTACACCCGGGCCACTCGTAAAATCTCCCACCCTAACCTTACCAAGGGTCCTCTGTTCACTTGGGAAGTACTTCCTCGTAAGTCGAGATGGTCTGCCCGGGTTTAACACGGAGTAGGCTTTCGCGACCAATATCATCCATCATACGGGTTTCTTTTGTTTTGGGGTTAGATCGCATAAATGTGTCGTTAAACCAGCCACCGAAAATCTGGCTGACGCCTGATGAAGCTAGTTGTAATTTCTGGCGAAACGTCGTACTCAGATTGTGGCTTTGCTCTCCAACACACCGGTGTGCTGTACTAGTAACGAATTGGCCACGTTCTGTTTACGTGACACACCTTCACTAATTGGCTGTGTCGGGTGGTGGCGGGTTTAACGACACATTTACATATTTACGCGATCGAACCCTCAAAAAACCTCCGTTATGGCCTACCCGAGTCACCGAACACGTGCGTTGCGCATCTTCCGGAAGATGTCTACCGTCTTCCGGAAGTTACTTACCGTCTTCTGGAAGTTGCCTACCGTCTTCTGGAAGTTGTCTACCGTCTTCTGGAAGTTGTCTACCGTCTTCTGGAAGTTGTCTACCGTCTTCTGGAAGTTGTCTACCGTCTTCCGGAAGTTGTCTAACGTCTTCCGGAAGTCTCTTCTGTTTTCCGGTAGTCCAACAAATAAAACGCGCCGCTCCTTTCTGCGCGGTGACGCGTCCACTGCACCCAAGTCGGCTGCGTTCCTCTTCGGACGATACCATTACACTCTGGGGGGGGGGGACGATTTATTTAGATCGTATGATACGACGCTGTCATATTAAACTTACAAACAATTATGTATTTTTCAGTTATAATATTAGAAAAATAAATTCTTAGCTGTTACTTTTAAGCGTTTTCACAAAATCTATTTTGTTTGAACGAGTTAGTTTTATTGTGCCTATGACGCCCCTATCGCGTAGTGGACGAGTCCGCGCTCCCCCTTAATCACGTCACCGACACACCGCCGCCATTACCTCGATTGCGGAGCCGGTGAGCGCAACACTTTCACCGTATAGCCTCGTAACATTCTTTTACAAACGTCGGGGACTTGGTTTATGTATCTTGTTGTTCATACAAACTCGACGTCATGCGCGACCGATGTGAATGCGCGTGTGGTCGTGTCGACGCGTCTGCGTGTGCCTGCCGCGTAGGGCCTAGGCGGAGGGCTTTTACACGGGGCGAATGGCATTACGCACCCAACGCCTCCGCCACATTTGCACAATAACGCCCGACTCGTACGCTTAAACGTGTGGTCAACGACGATCGTGGTTACGTGTTGACTTTATTCTGGTCGTTGTAAATGCGAAGCTCGTGGCTGTGGCGGTCGCTAGGAGTTGATGGAGGCGTTGGGCCTACCACGCCCGGGCCTCGGCTTAATGTGAATTCGCATTCGTCGTCGTCTCGCGTTGAGTGCGGCTTGTTCGTTCTTCACGCCGCAGCTCCGCTCTTTAACCTTCTCCCGACGTCCGTCCGTCGCCACGTCGCGCACCGTAACACCGTTCGGCTCCACAGGACCCGCGGAATCAACCCGTTTTTTTTAATGTTTCGAGTGCCGCTGTTTAAAATGGATGCTGCGCCGCTCCGGGTGGTTGAAGCTTCGCAGCAGCGCGCTGGAGTTGAGCGGCAAGCCCAGAGGTCACCGGTTCCATCTCCCCGGCGCGGCACCCTTTGCAACAATGGGACATTTTCCTGCTGAATTGGCTAAGCCCGCTTGCAATTACACCGCGTGATCATAGTTTTGCATGACAACTAAGGTCCGATAACACGAGAATTTGGAAGTACCAACTTGACCGACGGTAAAGGAATTAATTGTATGTAGACGTCCACGTAATAAGAAAAAACTATAAAACGTAGACGGTGGATTTAAATATTTTTTGTGAATTGTTCGAATCATTGTATCGTTTTAGGGTTCTTAAATATTTAACAGGATAAACATCCGTTATTGAACAGCCATGCAACGCACATTTTATAAGTGGTTCGTTTGCATGGCCTACGCGTGTGAATAACGTTGCAAGAGACGGTCACGTTTTGTTGAAAATGAGCACCGATGTGCAAAGAACACCCAGAATGTTGCAGTTGTGCAATTAAATCCGCACCTGCGCATGGATGGCCCAACACAAAAGTGCGCTTCATGCGTGAATTATCTTGCAACGGCATCAGCTCGTGTTGAGCAGAGTGAATTCACATTGCAGCAAATTCGTATGGATTGTCTGAATCCAACACAATCTGTGCACGTGGCAAGAGGAAAAGGCCATTGGACATCATGCCCTGGAAATGTTAAAGCTCTCGCAGAAAAGCAATGGTTCAAAGTGCATTAAGTCCACCGAACTATGTTTATTTAAATGAAGCTGAGCAGTTAAATGTGCTCGTAAAATTACTCATTAATTAACACTTTGCTGAATAAACAATAATACTGTAACACTTAATATTTTCATTGCAGATTTATTTCCACATCAGAAATTGCAACACCAGTGTCAAGTATGGATCGGAAAAAGCGGTAAGATTTTTAAACGTCAGTCTTGTCAAACACCAGTGTTTGCATGCTATATCAAATATTTTGGTAATATCTATAAAGAATGTATTAGCAATTGTAAACCGGGAGGTTAAGTTGTAAGGTTTTAAAAAAAAAAAATTCATTTACGAGCACGAATGTCAATGTTTATTATGCAGTAAAGCTACGTTGGTAATGTAAATCTATATAATATCTGTTGTTTGTTCTTAATAGCAGCCGAAGTGACAGGAGTGGACGTTATCCATCTGATGGTGACCGAGATAAGTGGTCTCGGGATGAGGAATGGAGTTCCAAAGACGATCGACAAAGTGATGACTCGCTCAGTAAGGCATTTAAAAATAAAACTGGATATGGAGTGACATGCAAGCCAGATTTTGATTATTACATAAGCTCCTGGTTGTCGCTGACTTATAAATGTATGCTTTGCCCACAATGATTTTGGTTGTTAGGAAAACCCTGCGTCGACACTTAATTTCTACATTTTATTAACTGCTTGTAGGCTCGTTCGTTTGGAGTTTAGCTTTATAACGGCACACGTATGCCAATTGTGTGCAGGTCTTCTCGGGCCTACCATTAGTGTTTTTCAAAGAGAAAACCGTCCAATATTTAATCCACATGGGGACTTGATGATGCACAAATTAAGCACTTGCAGTTTTGGCACAATCTGTACTAAAGCATATTTCTTAAAAAAAAATAATTGGAACGTTACACACAGTTTCTGAACGATGCTTATGCTTCGGGGGTTTCCACAGGTCCGAAACGAGATGATGGTCGAGAGTCTGACCGCAAAAACTATGACTACAAAGATGTGGACTATCGCAGTGGTCCAGGATACAGGAGAGATTCGCGCAGTTCAAGGAATGGTGGCTCAGAGGTGGGTTAACAATGAGGCCTGAACACATGTGCCTATGAAATGAGTATAAGTTAATTACCTGAAAAAGATTGTTATCAGGAGTGTAGTCAATATGCAGTAAAAGCCTCGACTAATTTTCACTCGGTTCCTGCATTGGTCTTTTTGGCCACTTTCAAATCATTTTTTGTATGTGGGATGAAGCCAGACTGCCTTGATACAAGCCGATGCTTACTAAATGGGAACACTTGAAATGTGTATACAGAAATACTGTTGTCTTTTTTCCACATCACAACCCAACTAGTTTGTAAATTTCACTAATTGGTCATGTACAATCCCTTGACTCCAAATTACTGGATTAGAGATTTGCAGACTTGTGCCACTGTACAGCACAAAGCGGGGGTAAACACAGATCGCAGACGGTTTACTGAATGGCAATGTTGAATTAAGACATTCTTGTTATTCGTTTAAGTATTTCCAAACATGCTTTTGCTTAAGGGCAAGGAATGATAATAGTACTGTGTTATAAGTGCTCTTACATTATTGAGATTTCAATTTATATAAAATAAAATGTAATGGCATGAAATAAAAAAAATAACGCCAAGGATTTGTCGTGCTAAATTGAGTAGCCAGCATTATGCATCCATTGTGCATACTAATGTATTTAATGTGCACAGCCCCTGAGGCATGTAAATAATAGACATGGCCAATGACAGTGAAACTGCAAACAAGCTGACAAACCTAAATTTATATAGATTATACTAGCAGGAAGTACCTGGCTTTGCCTGGGGGGAAAATATATTTCAAAACTTGTTTTCTCTTAAAAACTTAACATATACAAATACTAAGTTATTGTGTAAGCGTTGCGTTCCGTTTGTCTGTCCATTTGTCCGTCAACAAAATTATAAGAGGCTTGCAGAAGGTAATAGAAAGTGGGGGGTAAATAGTTGATCTAAAAGGTTTACAAAAGTTGTCGAACCCTCTCTTCCAAAAATACTTTTACCCCCCCCCAGCCATATTTTGTCGGCATAAATACATTACACACTACATATAATAGTCTAGTATCTAGTGATTCTATAGTAGTATCTGGCTCTATAGTATTGTAATAAAGGACTCTTCCACTGTGTCTGTCTTCGTTGTCCTTTATTTGGGTTCTTACAACTTTGCCCCACACGGCCCTCGCTCAGAGCCTTCCGCTTGGCAGCTTGAACAGCTGCCGTCGCTCACGTAGCCTTTTCTCCCCGCTCCCGATGCAGCTCCGCTGCTGGCTTCCCTCTTAGCCTCTCTGCCTTTGTGCAGTCTCTCAGCTGCTCTCCGTTCCCCCGTGCCCAGATACCGCTGGCCAACGGTGCCGAGTCCCGTCCTGTGGCGATCGCGCCACTCTCCACCCTCTGCCCTGCGTGGCCTCCTCCTGTCTTTATTCTTACACTCTCCTCCCGTCTCTTCCGGTTACCGCCCTTAAGAGCTTACCCCTCTCCCCCACGTGACCTAACCCCTCCCCCTGTGACGTCATATCCGCGAGGCCGTTTACGCCCGCATTACAGTATTATCACTGACTATAGTAGTATCGACTGACCCAACAATAGTAACTACTGACTCTCCAGTACTATCTACTGCCTGTATAGTAGTATCAACTGACTATAGTATTAACTACTAACTCTATAGTAGGCTCTGCTGGCTATAGTAGTATCTGCTGACTTTATAGCAGTATCTGCTGACTGCAGCAGAATTTACTGACTGTAGTAGTATCTACCGACTATGGTAGTATCTACCGACTTTATAGGGGGGAGAAGAGGACATCACACTGTTCAGGATTTACCTTGGCGTGTGGTTGTGCAGCAGTAACAATGCTTGATTATTTCTTTTTTGCATTTTTTGACTCCGAAGTTCTCCAGTTGCCACTCAGCACGCTCATGTGCGTTGCGAGGGGCAATCGCGAGTCAGCCTTTCCGCGCATGCGCAGATGGCGCCACGATCAGCGTAAAAATAAATTCTTATAAAGTGTGATATTACTAGTTAACATTGGACCAAGCGGAAAAACAAATAGCACATTTTCATCAGTAGGCTTAGTGTGTTGTATCTGTGTACTTTGTTGAAACGTAAACCCAACAGTTTGTCAGTTAAAAGCGTTGCAAGGATAGGCGTGCGCACAGAGACACAAAAAATACTTGTATAGGTAAGGTTCATGAGATGATATTAATCTGGCTCTCAGAGCCCTCAGTTTTTTGTTTTGGTATAGAGAAAGCCACGGGAAAAAAAAACCACACGTGATAGAATACAAAGGTAAAACCTTAATCTTGCAGTGGATATTGTCTGGCATATACTATACTCTGGTTCTTTGTAACTAGCCTTTCGCCCATCCGAGGACGGGTGTATTGCAGTAAATCTGCAACTTGCAAGCGAAAAGCAGACCGCGACGTGATATTCATTGCATCAATTCGTGTGCAATTTTTAAGGGTGCGGTGACTGAGCTATTTCATTGTAAAGGTTATAATCCCTTTTTCATCATGACGTCCTTTTTACTTCTATGTCTCAATAGCGTTACGGAGATCGCGTGACGTGAGGGTTCTCTGCCTTTGAAGTGAGGGTTGTAAGTTGACGCCAAGAAGGGGGGAGGAGGCGCCTCTGCCCCCATGTGGAGTGACGTCAGCCGCTAACTATTATGAATGGGGGGTGGTGTCCATTTGGAGGACGTCACCTTATGATTATTAATGAGGGCTGTTCTATGTTGAGTTATGTCACCTCATGATTGTTAATGAGGGGGGCTGGTCGACGTGGAGTGACGTCACGAGTGATGCATAGTCATCCTTGGCTCCTTATAGTCGGTAATAAGGGGGGTGGGGGTCCATTTGGAGGACGTCACCTGCTCATGAATATTAATTAAAGGGGCTGGTCGACAATGAAGTGAAGTCACGAGCGTTAAAGACATTCCTGGGTGATTTTAGTCGGTATTTTCATGTTTAACATGTGAATTTAGGCAGTTATTTTTTACGTGTTCACGTGTAATACATTTTTACGTGCACATTATTTGTTTGGTATATTTAGCAGTGTTTTTCTAGTAATAGGCTAATTATTAGACAAGATGGTCTGATGCTGGTGAAGAGAAGATTGTTTTATTAGGACAATGGGTGGGTTTGAGGAGACAAACTACAAAATGGTTGAAAATTAAAATGTGAGATGGAATGAACGAGTCGGTCATAGGCGGAAGAGAAAATAGCTTTTTTCGATTTAAAGCTTTCGTGACTGCAGGGATTCATCTTCTTGGTTCTTTCCGTAAAGTCACGTAGAAGGAAAATAATAAAATAATAAAAATTAAACACTAAAATACAATTTTCACGACGTTTCGACCACAACGCAAGCAGCCGTCCTCAGGTGAATAAAGAGGGCTGTCCCTTCTACGTGACTTTACCGAAAGAACCAAGAAGAGAAAATAGCTGTCTTGGATCTGAACAATAGGAATGAGTCGTGGTGCAGGCAACGAGGGATGATTATTTTATAAACCAAGTGGCATTGAAAAGCAAGTGGGCCCTCTAAATAATACGAGGATATGACGGCTTTGATTTCTGGAGCAGATTTTGCACCTCCGATTAGCACGGTTGGCTGCGTAGTGTGAAAGAAGTTCACACACAAGTGGAACTTTAAACAATGTATCCCACTCTGTATCAGGAACGTGATGACAATACGGAAGACTATGGCTATGATGCTAAAGATGGAAACCGATATCATCCGGATGGAGGATACCATGACCAGGACTACAGAGGAAGCCATTCTGAAGATGTGCAGCCCAGCACTGTCATAATCTTGCGCAACCTGCCTCTGTCTCTCACCAAGTCTGAGGTAGTTTCCCTTTTCATGCTTTATGGAAAAATATTTTATTTGTTGACCAGATTAAGTCGTTTATTTGAATTGATGTGTACTTCTAAAAAGTGGGCTAACTTGTTTGCACTCCATGTGTGTATTGAAAGTTAAACATTCGGACAGTGATGAGCTGTAATTTTCCTTCTCTACAAGAATACAATTCTTTGGTTTGCCCTCAGGTGTTCAAAGGTCAAACCCATATTTTGTGGATTATGCAGTCAAATTTTTTTTTGTTTTTGTAGATTGTATCAATATATTGCATATGCTTATATTTTTTTAACAAGACAATTTGTATTTATTTGGCATCAAATTGCTACCACAACTCTTACATTTTTATAGGCCGTCAATGCAATCGATAAATCATTAACTGTTTAACTTGTTTTGCACTGGTGATGGAATTCAAATAATCTTTTGAAGCTGCTTTTTAAGTGGTACATACTGTTTTTCAGCCTAGTTTTTTCCCTTACACTAGTATGCAAACAGTAATATTGTAGCGTGTTTATTAGGACGTGGAAACCTTGTCACTTTTATTGCAGCTTGAATCTGAGATGCAGAAGGTTGGACCTCCGCTAAGGGATGTGAGGCTGATCCAAAACAAAGTGACAGGTGAGACAGCTGGGGTTCCAGGCTTGTTCCATGCTCATAACCCCATGGCGCCCCTCTACTCAGTGGACCCACGTGTAACGCCGGCGGCGATGGTAGTTTTTCCTGGCCAAGAGCCTTTCCAGATTTTCTCTCCCTTGAATGCAGGCTGGGAATTCGGTCGCACTGTCGTGTAAAATATCTGTGCTCTTGAGCTAATATATTCACCTGCTGAATAGTGACCTATAATTTTTAGTTGTAATTGTTTAATTGTTAGCTTTGGGTGATTAACTTAAAAAAAAAATTGACAGCCATTGAAAGCAAGTTGTAATTGCATAACACATATTTTATTCTGGCTCGTGCTTGAGCCAAGGACCTTGCGTTTGCCACAAGGGGTGGGATGGAGATCCACACTGACAGCATCTCAACAGGAAATGACAGATGTTCACACCAGGAACGCAAGACCGGATGAAATGTTGTGATTGATTGTAGACCAGGTTGAGCAATGTTGTTCCTATGCAATCCTGCCAACGCAGTGATGGGCACTGGCACATTTATGCGAGTGGCAGAGCGGCATATGATGGTGCCGACTTGTTTGTACCATTTTACAATATAAAACACTTGTTAAAAATTAATGAGCAAATGTTTATACATTTTGTAATTATTGGACAGATGTATTCACTTAACTAATATTCACTTTAATCACCCAATCTTTAAACTTAAAAAAAATTGAATGTTAATTGGCAGTTAGAGGTGGCAAAGTTGCAAAATTGTGTTCATACGCTATTGAGAGCATGTTGTGAGCACTTATTTGTCAAGGAGCTGTAGCTTTTACAGCCAATGATTCTACTTTTGTTCAATGCCTGGGAGTAACTTGTTCATTTTATTTATAGGCTGTGCTTGTTAAAACCTTAATTTTTTGGCAGGTGGAGAAAACGTCGATGTTAACATTAGATGTCAATAGTGACTGCATTAACGTATACAGGGCACATGTTAACCATGACTTAAGAGATCAAACGAATGAACAAACAAGACTAATAGGCCGTAGCTTATTTTCCATTCGCCAAATAGTTGTATTTGCGTAGCTGTTGCCGTGAATGTGCAGGTAAACGGTAAGTGTCCAGAATGGTTGCTGAAAAAATGTTTGTTATTTCTTAGCCTGCATTTTAAATTCTAGGATAAAATTTTAATTTGTGGTGACTTAAAAATTATTAAATATTTTTCAGCATTCTGTTCAGATCCCTCTTGGCCAGGGCAAACAATTCCTGCCTGCTCAACAGGGAAGGAGTTTCTGATGTTATGCAGTGGTAACTTGGAATTTGGCTGTTTGAATTTATAATACAAAGATATCACGGTGCCTTGGCCTATTTTGTTCCTCTTACATTTTAGAGAATTGTAAGAATATAATACTTCGTAAAAGTGTTCAGTTGCAACCTTTTCTTTCCACCAAAACTGACGCGACGGAGTCGATGCACTTGAAACGCATCCTGAAATATGAAGCCTCCTTCCCTTTTGAGCTTTGTGCCGTGGAGCGATGTTGCTGTCGGTGTTGTGTCCACGTGATACAAGTCCCAAGACTAACACCGATCCGTGTATATGTGAATGCCACCTCTAGGTCAGAGCCGAGGCTTCGCCTTCGTGGAGTTTATACACTTGCAGGACGCTACCAGATGGATGGAAGCCAATCAGGTTGCTTTGGTGTAGACTCCGATCATTGAGCCAGTCTGCCGACGTTTGAAAACGTGCCTTGCCTTGCTCAAAAAAACCCTATGATTTATTTTAAAAGGAAACTATGGTCATGGCTGCGAGATGTTAACTATTTGGCAATTCTATATTGCACAACTGTGAAAAGGATGATAAGCACATTGTACAATTAAAAGTAATGTATCAGTATGCAGCAGTCCCATGACTTTCATTTGAAGGTTATTTACAAAATTGACCAATTGCTGATATTTCCGAAAAGATTTATTGTGCATATGTAAATATAGGAAAATGTGTTGATAGATTCATCGTGCTAAAGAATTGAAAAAATAGAGTTGTGATCACCTCATCATTATTGTGGAGGCATTCATGGCCTGAATCGGGAAGACTGCTGTTATTATACTTCATATGTTTGACGGTGCAATGTTAGCACGACTAGAACGGTATTGAGCCTTAACGAACCCGCGTCGCTTTAATTCACGTCAATTAATTTAAACGTAGCCGTTTTAAAGGAGTCCCAACGTGTTGGAAGCTATGAAAATAAAATACCTTGTACAGGTTGCTGTTTGACCAGGTTAAGCTGCAGTTCGTAATGTATTATTTGTCTGTGCTGAAAATGAAAGTCACAGGAACGAACAATTTGCAGACTTTTAACACGCGTTGACAGGAAAGGAGGGGGCACTGTTTACCTATCTCTTCCTCTGCCATTGGCCCGGCTGGATTAAGTTTCTTCTGCTTTTTTTAATTTATCCGTAACGCCCCATGGTTCCCTGGTCGCCTAGCCTTCCCTTGGGTTCAGAAGCCTGCATGTACTCGGCACACCTTTGCTGAGCTTTATCAGGCAACTGGCCCTGTGTCTCGCAGCACGGAGTCTGACTTACAACTTTGTGTGTTTTGTATTTTTCAGCACAACTTTACCATGCAGGGCCAGCGAGTGTCTGTGGACTACAGTCACATGAAGCCAAAGCTCGCTGAAGACTGGATCTGCAGCACGGTATTGTGGGGTTTTGTATCTGCTCATTCTGCAGGACGTATTGGATAAATGTTTAAATATGGCATAATTTTATGGTTGCATAATTGTAAATGTTTTTTTTCAGTGCGGCTATCAAAACTTCAGCAGAAGAGATCATTGTTTGAAATGTGGCATTCCAAGATCTTGTAAGTACTGTGATTGGTGTGTATTTACAATTACTCATGTAGCATGTTAAATTGTCCAATATTGGCTGTTCTAAAAACCTTTTATTGTCAATTGGTCAATGGCATTATCTTTTGTGGATAATTTTAAGCAGTCCTAACTAATGAAAAATGTTTTTTGCAATAAGCCAGAGCCTATTACATGTTCTTTGTGCCTTTTTGTTGTTTAGGAAATGTGATATTTTCAATTTTTTTCATTGTTTTCCAAAATATGAACACCTTTTTGCTTACAGCCTATTCAAAGTAATACAATTATATATATTCTCACATAGTATGTTGGTGTGTACCTTCAATATGCAGCCTAATAGGTTAATTGTGTTCAGCTCCTCATTAATATAGCCATGATTCTGACACCATTATTTGAGTGTCGGCATAACCCCTGTCTCAAATTGTATTCGCCCAGTGCTTGGAGATGCGCTTCTTCCTTCTCCGTCTTCGGCGGCTCGCGATGGAACAGATGCAACAAGTGAGTGCCAGTAAGAGTGCGTTATGTGGCTTTGAAAGGTGAAGAGGTCATCACGACCACTGCCGTTGATGCACCGGAACCTCGCCGTCACGCCCTTTTTGCCAGGTCCCACAGCTGTTTCACAGCTGACAGTCCCGCATCCAGAGTCCGCTCTTTGGATGATTCCCATTTTCCGGCTCTAGGTCTCTGACCTGTGATGGCTCAGCAAATGTACTTCACTCATCGCAACATTATCTTTGTGAAAATTTGCACCATTTCTTCAGTGGTTCTTGGAAACGTTTTCCAAACCAACACGTTGCTTACTTTATTCTGTCCTTAAATTAATAGAATTCTCTGTATACACCCATAATGTAATAATAATTCCTGATGTTTGTCTTAGGAGATGGACAACATGAGCATTAGGTGTACTGCCTATGTTTATTGGATCCCTAATGTAAACTACAAATGGCAGATGAGCCTCCTGTATTTAAATTATTCCCACAACACCATAGTTGGACCCTTGATTAACACGTTCCTTCGGAGTGGGCAGGTAGGAACTTGGTTGGACAGCGCATTCGTGGGGCGGCGCGTCACATGGTGCTGAGCCCGCCTGAAGCGCTTTGAAATACAAATCGAGGGCGTGGCTATGCACAACAGACAGACAAATGATCCCTGGTGGGCAGTGTGGAACTATTGTTCTTACCTGTATTGCATTACAAAAAGACAAGTGTTTCTACGTTTGGTTCATGGCATCCACAATGGGAAGGGGGGGGGGGGTATGGCCTCCATCTATTGGTTCAAACTGAAAACGCTGCGCCATTGTTGAAGCAATTACTGAATAGTGTTCAGATTTTCAAGCTGTTCCTATGATGGTTTTCGTCTTCTGTGCCCCTAACAGCGCTCATCATTCGCAACCTGGGTGCACAGACAACAGTGGAGGCCATCATTCAGGCTCTCCTGCCGTACGCCATGCTCACGCCCACAAACATTCGTCTCATCAAGGACCGAATGACCAACTACAACCGTGGATTTGCTTTTGTTGAGCTTGGCTCTGTGCTGGTGAGGTTCCTCGGATAATAGTTTTTTTTCACAGATGTTGTGGGAGTAATCTTACCAGCAATGGCAATTCAAGGCTTCTCGTGAGACAGTAGATGCCCGAGCACAGCCTTTCCCAGCTGAATATCGTCATCCCTCCGTTAATTGTGACATCGGTTAATGCTTTTTGGGTTCACGTTTCGCCTCCCTTAGGGCCCCATAGTTAACGCTAATATCGGCCAATCAGAGTCCTCGTAAGTTATAAGCGTTTAAACCTCGACTGGCTTTGTTTACATTACGTTTTCTGTTTTGGCAGTGACAACTGCTCTCTTGCAGACTCCGTGATTTTTACCTATTCAACTTATAAGTGAATTCGATTAACAGTTATTTCGGTTCACGGTGGTTTTCGCGGGATGGATTAAAATCGTTAACCGAGGGACTATTGTGTACCCAGCTTATAAAAATTGCCTTCAATCGCATTGTTCCTTTCAGGAAGGCTGCATGAAACACATTTGTTGAATATTTTATGCTTGTGCACCCCAAGGTCAAATTTTCAAATGTCGTGCACTGTTATGTTTTGCAGGAAGCCAGCCAGCTGCTGCAGATCCTCACAACTCTACAGCCTCCCTTGAGGATAGATAATAAGACAGTCAACGTAGATTATGCCAAGGGAAACAAAAGGTGAGAGGGGGAGGGCTCATCGCTGGTCTGCAGTCTATGGGTTTTTTTTATTATATTTCTATTTGTCCATCTTGAAACACATTTTCAGCCAAACCCTTTCTTTACCATACGAAAACACTTTCCAAAAAGCGGCCTTTGCACTTCATGCAGCGAGTGCCTTTTGTTTTATCGCTGCAATACATTGGACTGAAAAGACAGAAACGTTTACGTCAGCAGACTGAGAAGCACTCTGTGAACAGGACGATATGAACTCCAGGAGATGTCCTGTGGTGTCTCATAGAATGGATCCTAGTGACAGCGTGTGCTGCGTAGTATTTGAGGTTCCCCTTTAGACTGCCAAAGACAGCCCGTGTAACTGCAATAACAATTGGGATGAAGAAACAATTGAGTAAAGACACCTTATCTTTAAGGAGGTACCACAAATACATTCTGACCTACAGGTTGGCTCTCAAGTACAGTTATTGCCACAAGTGTGGAACACGCGGCTATCCTTTGATGTTTTGGCATCATCGACGTCCATTTCTTCATCACCAATTGTAGACGATTGCAGTGAACTAAAAAAAACTACTTTAAAACATTCTTTACGGCTACTCTGACCATGTGGTTTTGATGCACGAGCGTCACGTTCACAACCCACGTCTGTACGTCGGTGTGTATATTTTGCGGGTCATCACCGTGTTGACAAATGTGGCACTTGCGATACCGAAGAGATTTTTTTTCTCCCCCCCTCCCTAAGTCCCAGACACAAAACATGTAAGGGATACGAATGTTAACATAGCTCTTAAACACATCTTAAACACAACTGCTCGTTATTTTAGGGAAGTGACTACTACATCCGTGGCAAGCCTGGCCATTGCTGCTGCTCACTGGTCTGCCACACAGGTAGGCCTGCACCACCTCGAAGATCTCCGCCGCACCTGTAACCTTGCCCACCGTTGCCCTCGGTTACAGGGTTGTTTTCCTTATGCCTTTTGGGTAATTAAGACGGTTGCTGCAATATAAAAAAACAAATATGTACGCAATCACATTTTCACGATATGGCAATTATTGCTGAATGAATTTCCCAAAACTTTGTAATTGAATTGTTTAGATTTTGTGCTACGCTGTACAAATACAGTTTTTACTATGGGTTTTCGACTGGATTTAACTCTATATGTGCCTCGCGTAAGGCTTGTATTGCATATTTGCAATCAGTATCACACATGCTGTGATGGAAATTCAATGAACTGTGAAAATTTATGCTTAATTGTCAAGCTGCCAATTACTCAGAAAAGTTTTGCTATTTAGTTCCAGCTTTTTTTTTCACTTATTCAAGACTTATTTTATGAGGAAATAAAATATTTCGGAAAAAATAATCAATCTGAAGACTATTAAAAAAAAAATGGACAACAGAAATATTGCAAATGTTACATTATATTATATATCATCGCTATATCGTGGCAACTCTAGCAATAAATCAACCAACAAACATGGTCGTTAGTCTCTCCACATTAAAGTGTGTTGTTAGTCCATCATCCTATGGGCTTCCAGAACAGATATTACCCATCTGCATTTGGTTATGCAAGCACACTGGACTGGCTTAGGACATTTTGGGTTTCATCATCATATGCTCTGTAAGAAATGCAAATGGGGTGCTTTACTCCCAACTTCACAATGGGGCCTATTCAACCCAGTAATATTGTATGTGGAGAATTGTGTAAAACTATAAACTAGTACAGAATTTGGTTGCTTAAAACATATGCTGCTGGATAATACTGCTCCAAAGGTCCATAACGGTCCATGGGGTGAATAAGTGATTTAATTTGGTGTGGAGAGACCCAACGGATGTTACATTTCCCAAAAACGCTCCAGAATACAAATGTAGGTTTTTTTTCTTGTGTTTGTGTTAATTTCTTGTCACTTAATAAAATACATCGAGAAGCAGTGCAGCTCTTGAGCTCAACCAGAGTAAAGATTTACTTGGGCCATAACTAATATTTGAGCATAATATGCTATTTAGCTTTAAATTGCTTTTGACGCGAGGTTTTTACGTGTTCAACCGTGCTAATCCAAGGTACATGCATTATTTAAATGCCAGATACATTCGCGTTGGTATGCGTATTTAGTATCTAAACATCCTATTTTCAAAGAACCTATCTACGTGACTTTACTGAAAGACCCAAAGAATATGAATGCCTGCAGTCACGAAAGCTTTAAGTCAAGATTTATCTAAACATCCTATAAACTGGGTTTTATTCAACCCTTTCGTGTGTGGTGGGACTCGGAGAGAAAAGGAGTAGAAGCCGGGAATCCACTCTCCTTGGGCACAAGTATTTGTGGGAGTGTCTACATTAAAACCCTTTCATACTTGTGTGACCATTTACTTCAGCCATACAACTCTTTTTTTTTAGTAAAAAAAAAATTTCCATGTTTGCTTTATCTTATTCCCGATTTTTCAAACGTTGCTCCCTGGTAAGAAGGCATACAAAATTAACTCGAGTAGAGGTGACGGGGAGCGGGGGGGCAGCATTTTGTTTGAATCGCAACTATGCATCATTGATTGGAGGGAATGGTCTGTTTATATTTTAAGAGGGTAAGCCCAACCTAAGCAGTTTGTCATTTAAAGTGAAGGGGTGTGTGAATGTAATTCGTAATCTTAATTGCTCATGATGAATGACTCGTTTCACTCAACCATTATGTAATGCTTAGAAAATAACTAGGTCCCAATCCTCAGAAATATTTTTTATTGCCTATAATACTCTTAGCTTATGAAGTCAATACAATGAGTTATTGGACCTTATTTAAACGCTAACCTGCATATGCCTTAACCTATTTGTCTTGCATTGGCAATAAAAAATAAGCGTGATTTTTTTTTGAGGTGGAGCTGTGGCACGGTTATTATTGAACTGCAACTATAAGCCCAGCAATTTATTTCCAATTCCCAGCCCCAGCTAACATGTGACAAGAGTAATCTGAACCAGTACTGGGCTGTCCCTTACACAAACCTGTACTGACCAACGTGGTGATGTATGGTCAAACAAAATCCCTGTGACTTGACATGGCATGAGGAGTCTTTATCCAGTTGTGGATTGACTTCAGGGCTGAACATTATTTTTGTTATTACATGGTTAGTGATTTCTTTCCAACAACGGATTACACTCCACAGGACACGTGTAACTATTCTATTTTTTTTCCTTTGTGCTTTTTTACTGTTATATTTTCCTGAGCAAATCAACCAGTTGCAGGCTTGACATTCCCAAAGAAAAACTGCCGCACCCTCTTCCTGTATCCTACCGTTGGTGAAGTCTGCGTCTTGCTACAACTGCGCAAATGCTAATCGTGCCTAACTGTGTGTGCTGCTGTGTTTAAGGCTCCGCACGGCTCTGACACAGCTTGGGCAACACCTGAGGCTCAGCAAGCAAATTACGCCTTGTTCCTGAACGGGCAGCACCCCAACTACATGCAGTATGGGGAGGTATGGACACTCGGCAACAACTCGCGAGCACATTCCTCCTCCGCACGTAGTTTCGAGAGGAGTGGGCGGTAGCGGTGAGGCACAATGCTGGAAAATTAGCTGCAAATGATTGATTGGAATTGCAACGCAGCAAGTTCGACCCCGACTGTAAAAACGTGTCCAAGGGACACTCCTGTTCAACACTCTTGGGACACTTGCGAGGCTCACTTGGCAAACGGTTCTAATAAATCAGCAATTGACATAGATGGAAACAGTCCGTGACACAAACGTGTTGATTAAAGATTATTTTTATTGGTGTCCTTAATTATTTTTATACCAGAATGGTTTTGTACGTAACTAAGACTGTTTTTAGTGCTTACATGAATCGCTCCTAAACTATTGTTTAAAATGTGTGTTTTTGTGTGCCTAATTAAACAGGCGTACGGAGATTACAGCCAGTACTACCAACAGGCAGCAGCCGACCCGAGCCAGATCGTCGCAGCAGCTTTGGCGATAAAAAATGCTTCTGCAGCCAACGGTAGGAATAACAACACTTGCGCAGCAGCCGCCTAGCACGTTGGTGTCTGTTGTAATTATGTATGTACATTGAACGCCTTTCACACCGTACATAGCCAGCCGTGCTAATTGGAAGATGCAACCCAAAATACAGGCTGTAACCCAAAATACAAGCGATCCCAGGCTGATTGCCACTAGCTTGAAGGGTCTTCAGTGATGCGTGGTCTAAAGTTAGTCTAAGCACCATGATAGCTCGTTGGTGATGTCACTTGATCAAAACTATTTTGGTTTTGTTGTCTTTTGAGCAATTCTCGTCTTTGTAATGAATGATCGAAAAGCAATAAAGTTATTACTACACATCTAATATACATGATTTTGTATACTGTGTACTTGCATAAATATATGCACAGCGTATAGTTAACAAATAGAGAATTGAACAAACATTTCCTATAAGCTCTGACAATCAGGAATCCCAGACTTCTATGATAATGTTGTACCATATTTGATACATATATATCTCCTGTTTTGCTTTTTGTGCTTATGCTACTTTGGTAATTATTATTGTAAAGTGTATTGGCGTCCATTTCTAGTTTGCAAACGTAAACTAATTTGTAGCTTTTAATGCGTTTGTAGCAGTGCTTGGCACTGTCGCAGCGGGGATTGCAGCTCAACAATCCGCAGCAGCACAGGCAAGTGGTGCGGTAAGTCAGATCCTGGTTTACTTGAGCCTGTTGCCCGACAATTCTTCTCTAGAGGCTATATACATTTTCTATAGGTAAAAGAGATAATATGCTTTCTACAACAAAAACTGCGAATTTAACTCATTTTTAAATGTTTCAATATTATTGTGGGTTTGCATTCCAATGCCAATTTTGCAGCATAGGGATGGCTGCCACTGGGGGTTCCCTTGACTAAACTGGGGTTGGGTGCGATGATGGTTGATGTGATGTAAGGGCCTTTTATATGCTGGAGGCATTTTCAACACCATATAAATATTAAATCCTTATACTTCTAGTTGTTGACTAATGAACAAAATTCATTTATTCTGGCACTGCAAAGGGTACACTTTGGTAGTGCTGTCATTGCATTCCTTACGTGACTGGAAACTTAATCATTCTGTGTGATTTCGGGCACATGAATCGCTGCCTAACACCGTGAGTTTGTGTGTGCGCCCCTTTCTTAGCGCGTGGCTGCAAGCACGGCACAGGAATCGACCTCCAGTGCGGCAGTGGCGGCAGCATCCATGGCACAAGCGAGCACCACCCATGCGACTCCCGCCGTTCCCGCTCCCACAGGAACGCAGCCTTACCAGAAATACCGTGAGTGCCCTCAGCTGCCATGTGTCCGATGCTGGTGTCTAACCAGTAGGAGTGTATCAATGTACCCATCTTGGAAGTCAAGTCACCATATCTCCCGATTTAGCACAGTTGGCTACATTACGGTGCAAAAGAAGTTCAACACGCGTACAGGATCGCGATTCGGGTCAAGAATATAGTTTTTGCCGTCATGTTGAATGTAATGGCGTCCAGTGACTTAAATGCAGGGTTTACATGAACCAATCGCATTTAATATCCCCTCATCATCATCAGCCATGGGCAGTTCAAAGCTAGATTAAGGCCCTCGCCAAGCCGCTTGGCATCTCACAATCCTGAAACTGGACATGACTCAAATTGTTTCTTCCCACGCCTGAATCAATGGATTAGTGCTGAGTGTAAGAATCGGTTTTAATTTAATTGTTATATGCCTACTAAACAGCGTTAACATTTGTGTTGCAACCAGTCAACGAGCAGCGTAGTTACACACGTGCTTTATATGCCTGCATCTGTTCTGCGTCTGATTCGTGAGCGTCAACTGGCGATTGGTGGCCCACTGCTACCATTGTCTTCTTGCAAAGTAGTCTCCATTTGCCCTGGAATAACGATGTTCTGCTTGTTTGTGATTGCCTGTGTTTGTCATTTCAGCTGTCCCTGATGTGTCAACGTATCAGTATGACGAGTCTTCTGGCTACTACTATGATCCTCAGATCGGCTTGTACTACGATTCCAGCTCCCAGGTAGAGCACTCTACTTTACCTTGAATTTATTTTATTGGCCTACCCAACTTGTCACTCAGCCTTGTAGCGCATATTGGTATCTGCTTGTTAAGTGTAATTAAATAAGTATAATGACGTTTCATGTTCTGTAACTAAAAACTATGCGCTGAAGTTTGATTAAACGTATACCAAGTTTCTGTGTAATCTACAAAAGCATGAGTTGATTTTTACAGGGAGATTATTGTAAATATTTAACAAATGCAACTTGCTCGAGGCTAAATTAGCGAACAGGCTCTTGCAGTCCATCCAGGAGTGGTTTTCCTGTATAATGCTTCCACCTGCTGCCTGAACTTGGAATTTGCACGAGATCATTCAGTGGTACAGTACCTTGGGCAAAGCTGTGCTCCCCTTTTACTGAGAAGCAATTTTACAGAAGCTTTCGTGACTGCAGGAATCCATACTCTTTGGTTCTTTCGGTAAAGTCACGTAGGTATAAAAATGAAATAAAATACAAAATTATATTTTTTTCATTACATTTTTATACCTACTTAATATTTTTTTTTCAACATACGTGACTTTACCGAAAGAACCAAAGATTCTGTAAATGTATATATGGAAGTTTTGAATCGAGGGCTGTCGCAAAAGCCTTGACGTGACTCCCATACATCGCTTTCCATTCTGTGTCGCCATGTAAAAGTAAATATCTTAGGATATCAACCTATTGGTTTTCCAGGCTTGAGTTGACGTGTGCTGAGCTAATGGACACCTGTAGGGGGCAACCACATGAAACAGGATGTGTTGTTTTGGTGGGGGTGTGACACGCTTGTGAAATGTCTTGCAGTATTACTACAACTCGCAGACGCAAGAGTATCTGTACTGGGATTCGGAACGGCAGACCTACCTGCCAGCTTCGCAGCAGCAGCAGCAACAGCAGCAGCAACAACAACAACAGCTACAACTTCAACAAAGCACGGAGGAAGGGAAAGACAAAAAGGACAAGCCAAAAACGAAAACTGCACAGCAGGTGCTTTGCTTTTTTATGTTTACAAAAAAATGTGGTGCTTGATGGGTATAATTTTAGTTTGCCATTATTTGTAATGCCCAGTGACATTCTTATCGTAGTTAGGTGATGGTATCTGTCATACATGCTCATTCTCTGCATATGTTTTACTGTGGCATTATCATGTCCGGTTTAAAACCTTAGTCATTGGTTTGTACACTCGCAAGATAACATTTTATATTTTATTCCTATAACGTATGGATATTTGACATGCATTGTAATTGTTAGCCTGATGAAGGTTTCAAAATGTCAGGTGATGGTCGATACTAAATAGTTGCCTTTGTGGAGTTAGACCAGTTAGTTTGGAATGGGGTTTGATTTGCAAGTTGCTGTCATACCGGATCCAACACACACGGTGTCTTTGACCTAGCGGCGAATAGACCATGGCTAACCTGCATTCCGACACTTGCACAGATTGCCAAGGACATGGAAAAATGGGCCAAAAGCCTCAACAAGCAAAAGGAGTTCTTCAAGAACAGCTTCCAGCCGGTTGGGGCGGGCGGCAGAGACGACGAGAGGGAGTCTGCCTCTGCGGACGCGGGCTACGCGATGCTGGAGAAGCGGGTGAGGAATGACGCAGTGGAGGAGCTCACTCGCTGTGCGGTTAGATTGTTAACTTACACCTGCAGTGTGGAACTAAACTTGGGATAAAAAGGATCATTTCAGATGTTATATTTTCCGATTTTTTATTTATTAATTATATGTCTTCGTGCTAACACGTGTCGTCACCTGAAGCAACATGACGCACGGAAGCGACGTGGTTGGTTTAGTTTAATGATAGAACCTGATTCTTGTTTTGAAAAAAATGCCACGTTGCCGTCATCACATCGGCAGAAGCTATCGTTCCACAACATCTCCATTAGGTCTATTGGGCCTCCTGCTTATCTGGTTTTAATTACAGTAAAGTGAATATGGTCAGACCTCTCCCATTACTAACAGTGGGGAGGCCATGATACTGTAGTGCAGGCGTGGGGAAGCTTTTTTCTGCCAAGGGCCATTCATTTGGATATCTATAACATCATTCGCGGGCCATACAACATTATCAACTTACAAATTTGCCCGTTATATTTGGTCAAACATTTAATTAACTCGCCCCTAATGCGATGGTTGGAACTGCTTCTCTTTGGTGAGGTGTGTGATGTTAGCTGGTGTCGATGATGTTGCTACTCGCAACTGCTTTTACAGGTTTGCTCCTAGATTTATTGAATTTCGAGTCCCGCCTGCGGTTGCCTTGGCAGGGCCACACCAAATGATCTTGCGGGCCTTATAAGGCCCGTGGGCCGGATGTTCCCCCACTCCTGCTGTAGTGAATTGACAAAGGGCTGTGAATTCCTTTGTAAGAATTCGTTTCTTTAATATTTTTTTTATACAGTAAAGGATTCATACTTTCCATGAACTTAAGTTCCCGTCAATGGCTAATACATTTAAAATTTCTGTGCAGTTGTAGTTGATCTTATTAAGGTTTGAAACTACATAGATCCCTCCTTTTTATCGCTCCCTTCCTTACTCCCATTCTCGCGAGATAAGAAATCGCTGTTGGCAGGAGTCTGCGAAATGTGTGCTTGGTGTTGTGTGCGTTTGCATTTTTCAATGGGAATTAAACATGAAGGTGACCTTTGTGCCGTGTGATGGTAACTGTTTACAGGCCACACAGAATGACAGGCAGCTTGCTGTTTTGAATCAGCTTCAAAAAATTATCGAGAAAAGAAACGATGAAGACACAGAACCGGTAAGGGTACATTATACATTACTCTTCTCTAAATGTGAAGTTTCTTGTCCTTCCCCCCCCCTCACACCTCCGTTTAGCGCGATTGGCTACGTACGGTGCGAAAGAAGTTCTACATACATAATTACAGAAAGGCAACCTTTAAATATTGATAGCACTGCGAAGAAAATTTTATACAAATTTGTGCTGTTATTATTACTATTGTTTAAATAAATACAGGAAAACATTAGTTCTGCTAAGATAACTTTTATGGAAAATGTATTCTATTAAAAACATTTAAAACTGCTGTGCATTTTATCACAACAGTGCATTGTAAACCACTTCTTTAAATAATGCTTTAGTTTGCGTTTCTGAGCCTTGACCAGTTGTACCGACTCCCAAAGATCTGCTCGTATGGTCCAATGTAACTTGTGGTTTAGCGGAATGGATAAAATTCTGGGAAATCTAGTGCTGGGCATAAATTGTTTCATATCTATAAAGAACCATTTTGACTTCAGGGATTTTTCTCCATAAAACAAAATATTTTCACACCAGGAAGAATAATTTTGAAAGTGACAATCCATTTTTTTCGGGTTTCATGCATTGCATGGCTTCAATTTAATAATGAAAAATCTAGTTTGTATACATTAAAGCATGCGTGTTTTGCTAGTTGCGTCACGTGAATATAAAAGCTGCTGAGTAATTTATAAATTGATATATTGTGCAACAGTTGTGCATCACAAATGAAATAAAGAAAAAATATTTAGATATCAGGCAATGAGCTTTGTCGATAAATGTATTTTTTTAACCATGTTTACCAATGTAAACCTTGGATTTGGGTTGCAATTAATGGACTGGAAATCCAAATGTTTAATTGCACTACTTTTTTCTAAGCCGCCTTTGCAAAATACCAACGTGGGTGTTTGAATTACGAAAATGTTAAAGATGCTGGCATGATATGGTTTGGGGTGAGAACAGGCATGGAATGAAAGTCAAAGTTATGTACATGGCTAAAGCAACATTTTTGGCGTTGGTAATTGTTGCCATTTGGTAATGGCAAAAACATTGCCAAGCTGCAGCGTGTACAAAATCCTTTGGCATGTGACGGGCTACTGCAAGATCCGACCGTGTTCGTGTGCAGCGCTTGCTGAGCTGTATCTGCTTGCGGTTGCCAAACTAATACATGGCAAGGTTGCAGTCATTGCACACAAAAAGTGCTTTCCACAAATGAACCACAATACCTTGCTGATCTTGTCAACGGGCATAAACCATCGCGCAAACTCCGGTGGTCCTTGCAGCAACAGCTTTTGGCGAACCATCGAACAAAGATGGCCACTGCATTGTGCGCGCTTACAAATGCGCTTCTGTGTTCATCGTCTAAGAACGCTCTACCTTTCGATATGAGGAAACCACTGGAGCTATACACTTTAAATCTAAATTGAAAACTAATTTCTTCATAAGTGCTTTTTGTATTTAGTTTGTCCTTCCCCCTCACATCTGATTGTCACGGTTGGCTATGTACGGTGCAAAATACATTCTACATGCAGCCCAGGGAACAACGATACAGATGTCACCAGTTCGATTCAGTTTCCTGACGTGGCAGTTGAAATAATGAGCATGTTTCTCAATACCCCCACCTCCGTCCATCCGGCAGTATAAATGAGGAACACCAACAGTTGATTGGTGGTCATGTGTGGTCCGTTAAAGCGTGGGTTGTACCCCCTCCTCTTTCAGCTTGGAAGTTGTTGCCCAAATGGTCTCTAAAGAGGCTCTCCATCGTGTGAGCAAACACGTTTGGTGATACACATTTTATACTCCTACAGCAGAGGCCAGCAAACCTGAGGCTCCGCAGCCGCATGTTGCTCTTTAAGGACTATTTCCCGACTTCATTTATTAAGGATCACCGTCTTGTATGAACGTGCATTTCGGCTCTTGAAATATTGAGTTCGTTACTCGATTCCAAACAAACTGGGTCTTGTTATTTTGGTTTGCCGACCCCTGTCCTAGAGCAGCACAGGATCGACATGAGGCATTGAAGAAGGACGTTGTCCTCCCTGTTACAGCCCCACCTGTTTTTTGAAGGCACCGCCGTTGTCCCTCCACAGGCGGATTCGGATGCAACGCTCGTGGCATCTTACGGCGGTGGCAGCGACAGCGAGGAGGACAACTCGGCCGAGGCGCGCGAGGAGAAGCTGACGGACTGGGTGAAGCTGGCGTGCCTGCTGTGCCGCCGCATGTTCCCCAGCAAGGAGGCTCTGCTGCGCCACCAGCAGCTCTCGGACCTACACAAGGTGACGACAGCCCCGCAGGCGCCTGCTTGCGTGCACGCAACGCTTCCTTTCCCAGTGGTGCCGTGCCCTCTGGTTTTTGACCGCCGTCGCTCGGTATCCCTCCCACCACAATTTGTTACGTACAAATAGTATTGTGTGTACGTATGTTTGAACCTCTTTCGCGCAACGTGCCTAGCCCAACCGGGCTAATCGGAAATGCCGGAGGGGGTAGAACAGTGTATTGAAAACCCCATTGGGATCATTCCACATGAAAGTTACTGACAATGTGATTTTGTATGCGTGTGACAGTGACTACAGCTTAATGAGCCACACCATTTTTTTACAGATCAACAATAATCATTCTGACTGTGAAATTCTACCCAGCCTCTGTTGACCTTTCATCTAATTCACTTCCAATTTGGAAGGTCAATTCTAGTTTGTTTCTGTTTCTGCTGCACAGCGTTGTGGGCATGATTCTTACAGTCCTCTTGTCATGTGATCTGTTCGGTGGCTCCTACAGCAAAACTTGGAACAACACAGGCGATCCAAAATGACTGCTGCTGAAATAGAAGAGATGGAAAAGAAGGAACGCGAGGTAAGCCTTTAGCACAGGGATGATCCCAACGAAAGCCAAATGAGAGAACCCATCCGAGAGGACGTAGCAGCGCGGAGATGGAGCGATGAGATCAGCAGCTTGTGAAGTAGCTAGATGGTTTGTTGCATTGAGAGATTGTGTGAGGATAGAAGATCCGTTTGTAGAGACCATTTAGAAGTGGGATAGATATGGTTACGGATGAGTTGAGATGAAACCAGACAGCATATATGAGAATTCTAAAGTTGTAGGAAATGCAAAGTATGTTCATGCTTCACAAAATGTAATTCCATAATTTTTAAATAGCAACATGTTTCATACCTCGCCAGATTTGTTCCATTAATGTTACATGAATGAGTTTTGTAATTGGAAATATGTGGGAGTAGTAACTGCAAGGCAAGAATAAACACAACTTTATTAAACAAAAGTCAGTGCTTGATCAAATACATGATGTGAATTTTAAACACGGTGTGCTATTTAAAGGGAATACATTAAATTGTAGAAACCTAATTTAGGCTCTGTATTCTAATAAAGGCAACAAGAGTATTTCCACAATAGTTATGCTACATGCTGTTAACACTGAACTGTGTAGATGTGTCATACCGACCAGTTATGCCTTTGTGCTCCTTCATAAATACTCTGCAGTCCTACCCGATAGGCAGTTGACCGTTCTATTCCTGTTCACGTAAGAAGTCAAACCCGTTCTCTGCACAGGCTGGACGTTTCTGTAAGCAAAAGCTACACGGGCGGTGTCTATGCAAGGACGGAGATTGAATCATTGTGTTTTTTTCTGGTAAATTTAAAGGCAAAATACCGGGACCGTGCAGCTGAGAGGAGAGAAAAGTACGGGATTCCCGAACCTCCTGAGCCAAAGAAGAAGAAAGTGGTCCCAGAGCCCACGATGTAAGAACAACATCTTGTGCCGCTGTAATATTCTACGACTATTCACTCATAACGGTGGTCCGCTCTGGCGTTCCTTCAGAAGTTGGGTCGGCTGACACGATCACTCGGACTTCTCAGGTCTCGTCCTGAACACGCGTGGCATAGTTTCAAGCGAAATGTCGCATCTGATTGCCAAAGTTGGTTGACAATTGTTATTAGTTTTACCAGTAAGCTCAATTAATATTAGTTGAGTTAAACACTTAAATGTGTGACACATTGCTTGGCTATGTCGGATAGTGGGGTTGGGGGTATTTCAACACAAATTTGGCTTTATCAATTACGTTCCCTCGTTCCAAATTAAATTCACTCGATCCCTTGTGTATTCACTACACGCTTATAGTAACGATGGTGATCGCTGGGTGGCACATGCACTGGATGTTGCTTATGTAACTTAAACGCTAACAAAGCCAGTAAGGAGGGGAAGGGTATTGCAACAGAGTAGCTGTTTCCTTGTGAGCATGGAAAGAGCAATATAAGTGAACAGTGTGGAGCTTGGCACGTGTATATTTTTACTTACATATTTATGGGTATAGGTGGATCGTCTCTAGTTGTTTCAGAACACTGGCAAAATAATGCAATGTATAATTTTCATGAAAAACCAGACTGACTTGCATAAGGAGACCATCATGCAGCATGGTATTGGCAAAGTGCTGTAAAAGAGCATTGTGCCTGTACAGTGTTCATTTGTCATTGTGTTGTAGAAGTAGCAAAGTACTGAATGTGTTATATTTCTAATACACAATGACTACAATCATTGTGGAAGCATTCAACCGCATATTCATGTTTTAAGGTAACAATTGACTATTGTATGTATGTCGAACTTGTTTTCCACATTACCTATCCAACCGTGCTCATGTTGGGACATCTCTTGTGAACAGTTCACCACTTCATCCACCAATGCTTGATGCATTAAACCCCCATCTAGCATTCTTGCCACATTTACAGTTTTCAAATAACTCTGTTAAGCGTTGGTCAGCATTGGCAAGGCCGATGTTGACGTAATTGGTCCAATTCTCACTTGGCCGCAGTGACTACGAACAACCAACCAAAGCTGGCATCGGTGGTGACAATATTGGCAGCAAGATGCTGCAGGCTATGGGCTGGACGGAGGGCAGCGGCCTGGGCAAGAAGCATCAAGGCATCACGCTTCCCGTCGAGGTAAGGACCTTGCACTTGCTACACCAGTCCAAAGTCGAGAGCGATTTCCTACCCATATGCACATTGAGGTGGTGATCTACTGTTCCTAAATCCATGAGCCTAGTGGTGGAAATTCAGCTTTCCCGTGGTGGAGGTGAGTATATAAAACACATTGTTGATTTCCCCACGAAATGGGATGTATTTTAATTGACCCCAGAGGCATGAGCTGAGTCAACCCCCAACCAAGATTTGAATTGGCCACCCTCGAATGTCAGCCGCTTGCTGAGCTGCCTAGCCAGACTCCCAACTGGGCATAATTATTGACACGTTTGCTTTATTTTAAACCATTTTTTTGGTCACAGCATCAGGTTCACCGATCACTTCAGCTACCTCGGTGTCATCCTAGAATCAACTTTATCCTTCGACCGTCAAACCAATCATCATCAGTTCATGTAACTCTTACCTGAAGGCTCTCAGACACCTACGTCCTCTCATCTCCACTGAAACTGCCAACACATTAGCATGTTGCATAGTTGAGTCTCGCCTCGACTATTGCAACTCCGTCCTAGTCCGGTCCTGCTCTGGCAACCTAAAAAAACTTCAAAGACTACAAAACAACCTGGCACGTGTCGTCATTGGCCACACTCATCCCCGTCTCTACTCACTTGCCTGTCTCCGTGCCCTCTGCTGGCTACCCTTTGCCAGCAGGGTCACATACAAGATCGCCTGCCTCTGCCATACCTCTCTTCATTATTGACGACTTGCAGCACAGCACACGGCAGATGCCTTGGCAGTGCGACTCATGACCTCTTGATACCAAGATCCGGGATGGTCACGGCTATGTGCCGCTTCTCGGTGGCTGCCCCAACAGTCTGGAACGCAATCCCTCTGCACATTCGCAGCATCACCTCAATCGTCTCCTGCAAGAGACGCTTAAAAATTCACCTTTACAACCACGCTTTCGAGTGACTGAGCTTGGCTCCGCGCCTATGAGTTTCAGCTGTTACGTCCGCAAATTTGCGCGCGTTATAAATTGAATTATTATTATTAATTCAGGAGACCCGGTTACAGAACATCACCTGGAAATGTAAGGGGTGCCGGCTTGTGACATAATTGTATCCCACTCAAAAAAAATATATAACTAATTTTGTCCTAAAATTCTAGATGAATTGTGATCCCCTGTACATACTTTTAAAGGTGCTGACTCTGTAAAGGTAACGTTGCTGCTCGGGCTTGCTGCCTACTGCATGGCTGGGTCTTAACTTCCTGTGGGATGTTTGTAATCTCGATGTTCGTTTAGTTGGCGCGACTGCTCTTTATACGCTTAAGTTGGCAAGCTGTGAAGGCTTTTAAGGTCTGTAAAAATAGGAATATAATCGAAAGCTGTGCTTGTCCTCTTGAGGAATTCTGTGACTTATAAATGTGTGCCTCTTTACCCAGAGCACCCACTGCATAGCTTGGTATTATTACTCCAAAAGCAGAATTTCACTTTTAATAGCTGTTATGTGGAATAGCAATTTACATTTGAATCCAATGTCATTACCCGGTTTGTGTATCAGCTGATGCACAACTATGCTTGAATATATTGAGGATTTGCAGATATGGAAAGTTAAGTCGTGGGTGGCTCGCAGGGATTGAGGTTAAAAACCACTGGCCAAGATCGCCGGACCACTCACGCCCAAACATTTCCTAGATGGAGTTGATACTAAGTGCACCAAATGGTACATATTTTGCCCTCAACGGCTGGATAAGAATGCAAACGTGTTTATTTTGAGGCATTTGTAGATTAGTTGACTGGCTTTTCACAATCGTGGTCCATTTTTAATTGGTGAGATCCCATTTATTTTTATTTGCAAGGAATACCATTTTTTTTTTTATCTTTGTTTGAAGTACGTGCTGCGATGGACCTCAAAAGTGGCTTTTGTCCATTTGGTAGCAGTCTACTATTTACTTAAACTCCTTTCCGGTAACGCACTTTCTGTGGGAATACAAACTGACTGGGGGTGACCTTGCTGACTGCCAAGCACTCCAGCCAGATGAAAAATTGCCGATTAATTATTTCACCAGTCGAGGTGACATGTATCCTAGGCCGAGGCAGTCTTAGACCGGCAGAGCCGACGCTGCTCTCTTTCACTTGAATGCCCTTGAGAATTGTGCAGCAGCTGCTGTTGTAAGCAAGATTGTGTGTTCACAGCGTCCGTGGAGGTTGGTGTGTGGGTGTGTAAATGTGATCGCACGAGATGCGCCCGCACGCGCGCGTGAACTTGTGGTGCTATGTGCCTGTGTGCGTGCCTGATGCCTGTGTGGTTTGTCCAGATGTAGAAAAGTGAGAAATTTCACGAGGCCTTACATTGCCCTGTAGTCAGCAATCTGAAAAAAACTAAAACAAATATGTATTTTACTAGGTAATGCCCATTAAGCTATCGAGCTCTTTCAAAAGCAACCTAGCCATAAATGATAGCTCAAATAAATGTATCGCGTGGAAATGTACAGCAGCCAAATACTCTAAACGCATGTTTCTAAATGTGCATAGTTAACTTGCGTTCAAAAACCTTGAACCATCATACATTAAGCTAATATATTGTAATAACTTGCAAAATGAACAAGTTAGAAACTTTAAGCAATTCATTGTTATAAAATGTCTGAAGCACAGATGTGGTATGCCCATTAAAATAAAATGACTTAAATTTTAGCTATTAAATAGAATCAAGAAGTCTTTATTTGTATAATTATTTGTGAAAACCGTAGCATACAGAGTCCATAGTGCTTTGTTAGCATTGTGCATTAGATTTGTTTATTCCGTATGTTTAAAACCGCGTTATATCAAATGTGTTTTCAAGAAAAAAAGGTCATTGTGGTTGTATTTGCGTTGGCAGTCGTGGGAGAAGGCGTCCGTACGTGCTGGTAACGTTTGAGCCGTATCAGTGACTGCACTTTGAAATTAAGTTGCAATCGTACCCCGCTGAAATTAAATTGTCAACCGCAAGCCTGATGTGTACCCGTTAAGGCGTTGTTTTTACCTTCTCGTTTGTAAACAATTACCCTTGGCATGTTTATTATAACATGCTTATTTTAACATTAGCAACGCAGACGTTCAGGGTTGGAAGTTATATAAACGGCACTTAAGAAATATATATTTTTTACACTTATTATGAAACTGAGAATTATTCCCCTTGTATTAGGAAATTAGCAAAAGCAAAACAACATTGGTGTGAATAACAATGACTTTTTATGTTAGCCAATCGACAAAATCATTGCAATAGTTAACATATGCTTCATTTTAAAAGTTCCTTTCAGTTAAGCACTGGTAGAAATGGGATTCACACAAAGTTTGCCAGTTTTGCAATGCAACCATGCAATTGTCTATGCAGTAATGGTCAGTGCATTCCGACATACTCGTACTGTTCATACAAAATTGCCACAGTAATGACTACAAGAGAGAACATGTATTTACAACATTTTTGTTCAAACAAAATTCCGTAACATTTAATTTGGAATTTGTGAAGAAAAATAATACAATCAAACACGACGTTAAACATAATTGTTGACTCGGGTCACCGCAGACACTTGTTCACACAGATCACCGTTGCCATCTCCCATGGGTAATATCCAAATATACAGGGCACCAAGGTGGTGAGATGTTAACTACCTCGCCTGGTATACTGGAGGTCGTGGGTTCGATCCCGAGCCTGAAGCCTGCTGTATATTTGGAGTTTGCGTGTCTCTCTCCCCGTGGTCGCATGCATTTTTACCCAGGTCCTCTGGTGTTTCTCTCCACATATAGAATCGACATCACGCGTTTAGGGTATTCGGCTGCAATAAATGTCCATGTGATAAGCCACTTCGTTGAGCTGTCATTTGTGGCCAGGTCGCTTCTGAAAAAGAGCTGTATAGCTCAGTGGGCCTTACCTGGTAGAAATAAAAGTTTATTTTTATATCAGCTGGTAAAGCAAATGTTCCTTGTGCTTGGGTCTTACTTTCACCATGATGTAGCTGCTATACAGCACAGTATGCTCTAGTTTGATCAATCAATATAGTGCCTCTGAGAAACAAACGTCCATATTGCTTCTGATGCACACCACAGCCTTGCTTCAATACCAAGTCCCACCAGCCTGTGCTTTATTCGTATTGCAAAAATATTCTGCCACTAATATACTCTCCATTGTCGGTAACAGTACTGATTGTAGTTTATTCAGAAAAAAATCCGTATGCATGTGTTGGCGATACACATGAATGTGATGTTAATACAGAATATAAGTGTTATAGCATTAGAAAATGTTAGGGTTTTCACCCCATTTATCAAAATCCAAATTACCACTGCTATATTTTATTTACATATGTCTCGGCCACCCCTAATTACACTTTCCAGTTTAGTTACATTTAGTATCGCCAAAGGACCCCACGATGATTCGCCGGAATGCTCGCGTCCTAACGGCAAGCACGCTCGGGCATCACCGTGCTTGAATGTGAACGCGACTGCTTTAAAATGTCTGACGGGCGGTTGGGGGGGTGGCGGACAGCCTGTGCCATTTGCGAGCTTGACGTGTTCCCATAATTCGTTACCAGTACAGCACACGGCTGTGTTGGAGAGTAAACCCACTACAGCATAAAAAATCGAGTACTGTGACGTTTCGCCAGTAATTACAACGAGTAACGAATTGTCGTTTTCTTTTCGTGAAAAACCTTACTAACGGGCTGTGTCGTGTGATGGCGGGTTTATATTTACGCGATCTACTCAAAAGAATCTGGATGATTTTGCTCGCGAAAGCCTTCGTGTTAAATTGACGCGTGCCCCCTCCGCCCTTGTTCCACCGCAGGCCAAGAAAAGAACGCAGGGCGCTGGACTCGGGGCGAGGGGCGCCACCTACGGCGCCACTGCAGCGGACACTTACAAGGATCAAGTGCGCAGGGCCATGATGGCGCGCTTCAACGAGATGGAGTAGTCGACGTACGGGCGCCTGGAGCCGTTGCCAAGGGCCTGAATGTTTGCTCCGTTTCTTCTGTGTGGTATTTATCGCCAGGGAGCATTCACGACGGGATGCTAGAGATCAATAAGATTGAATTCCAACACTTTACGACGTTTATCAAGACGCCGTGCAACAGCGTATATCGAGGGGCGCAGAACGAAACCTTGTGTGCATGTTGTAAAAATAACTTGAAGGGAGAAAAAATAACACCAAATGCCAATGTAAGTTTCTGAATCGGCATTTCGAATTTGCTTTTGCGGGGGCGTGAAAGGTTGGGGGAATCTTGGACAAAGCGTACAGACTGCTTTTGAAAATGTCGATATTGAATGATGCCCCTGAGCAAGTGTCGGCATATTCTTTTTCATAACTTTGACTCATGGGTGGTATATAAATTAATATAATACAATCTAAAACAATTCAGGTAATCGGCTGATGCGAGCAATGTTTCGTTACCTGTTTAAATAAAGTTACACATTGTGGTGTTCGCATAATTATTTTCCTCCAATAAAACCTTGGTTGAAAATGTACCATATTTTTTCGTCAATTATAGTTTATGCATCTGTTCTTCATCTTGTAAAATGTACCGTGTACATTTTATATACGTTGCATTTGTTAAATGTTGTATATATGTAAATTACCATTGTGTTCATGCCGGTTAACCATTCTCTTTCCTTTGCATTTTCTGTAATTTTCCTTTGCGAGTTATGTCCAAGTCTGTTTTTGTTCAACGTATAGAAGATTGTGCACGTTATTGCCAGCACTTAAGGTGGTCCGGCAATGTGACATTGCTTCGAACTGATGTCTTGAAAACAAAAATGTGTTTATTGAGTTGAGGTGACACTGGTGTGTTTACCAAGATGTGCTGCGTGCGTAGCATGTCAGGCTAACCTGTTTGTAACTTAGTAGTCGGAGATTTTTTTTTTATTTAAAACAATACCCACAACTGCTTTTGATCTTTAATCATGTTCCTCTAGTTCTTTGTCAGAGTGCTAATATAATGTCTTAGAAACTCCAATACAACTTTTTACATGTTCTTTTTTAGTCCTGTTAACAAAAATGTTTGTTTTGAATAAATTTCAATGTTTGAAAAATAAATCCACAGTTGTGTATATTTGTTTTTTAAGAGCTTGACTCTTGGAATTTTGCCTCACTTGAGACGGTAAATCTAGCTGTGACGGTCCCACCTGATGATGGAGACTTGTGTTGCCTCCGAAACGTCGTGATTTATTATTTTATTTCTATTATTATTTCAATTATATTTTTATTTTTTACCGAAAAACCTAAGAGTATGAATCCTTGCAGTCACAAAAGCTTCAAATCTAGAACTATATTTTACTTTTTTACAATTGTTTTATCTTACCAGGTGTAAGGCCCACAGCTACTATGTAGCTCTTTTTCGGAAGCGACCTGTACACAAATTATAGCTCAACCACGTGGTTTGTGTTGAAATTCATGGCAGCCGAATACTCTGATACACGTGTTTCTAAATGACGAGGGAAAAACCGGAGGACCTGGAGGAAAGCAAATTCCACGCGACCACAACAAGCAAATTCCCCAACGTACGAACAACTTGCTTGCAGCAGCAGTGTGCAGACGAAGCCTGCAGTGGGCACGTGATTGTTGCGCTGTTCTGCTTTTGGATGCTCCCGAGTGCTTGCTAACATCGTTGCAGGGCCCTTGCCAAATGGTCGCGCAGTCACGTGCTGGAGTAGATTTGGTTGCGATGGTTTGAAGGAAGCTGGCCCTCGTGTAGGCGTACGTGGCAGATGACCTTTCCACAGGAAGTGTGTTTTTTTTAGAGCAGGAACGCGTCGGTGGGGCCACACGGAAGGACAAATATCTCGAAACAACACTGGAAACATTTTTCGACGCCCACACTCGAGACTCCGTTACTTTGCTTCTTTAATTAAGCTTACCGAGCAGACTCGTTGCTTTGGTCCCAACTTGAGTGTTGGCAAATTCTGTAATGTTTGTGCAGTGCTTACGTCAATTGGTTGAAATTTTAGGCAAGTCATAACCTTCCGTGGTGTCGTGGCATTTCGCCTTCGTACGTTTTAATGTTCCGTATTTTCTCATCGAAAGTTTATATTAAGTATTTTTTTAGTTGTATCAATTTTAAGGGGGGGGGGGGCATTTGGAATGTTCTCGCCAGTTTTGGCGTTGCATTTGTGCCGTTCACGTCCTAGATCGAGCTGGTTGGCGGGTTTGAACGTGCACGTCTCTCGACCCTGGCAATCCACTGCTGGATGCGATTCCCCCCCCCACACCACGAGTCTATTATAGCGCATGGCATGTAACATTGCTGGTAATTGACAATGACGTTTTAAAAATAAAGAAATCGCTATTAAAGAGATGCTAACGGATTGCGAGTGACGTCCCCTCCCCCCCAAAAAAGTGCTGTACGTATTGTATTATGTTGTGGAGTAGTGATCATTGAAAAACAGCTCATGGCCGTACTCAATTATGCAGTTTTAAAGTGCATATTAACAACCTCCCAGTAATGGAAACGCCACGCCACACTTGAGCGACCCAGAGAAAAATTCACACCAATCGCATCGAACCATATCTATACACACGCGCAACTCTTCTATTTGTACGTATAATTTTTAAAAAGCGTTTTAATTAATCCGCCTATTGTTGGCTTTCAAGACTAGTATCCCGCAGCGTCCGTTTCGCACGAAAACACTGCACTATTTTGACCTCTGTCTAATCAGGTCTTCAATACATTCATGATCCGGCACAAGATTCTGCTGTGACAATGTTTTATTTAAAAAATATGAACGGTTACATCCAAGCGGGTACATTTTCACGTACGCTTCTGTGGCCGTCTGGAACGCTCTTCCAATATTACAGCTCTGCACTTTTAAATATAAATTGAAAACTAATTTGTTTCGATCTGATTTTAGTGTTTAGTTTGTTGTCCTTCCCCCGCACCTCCGATTGCCACGGTTGGCTACGTATGGCGCGAAAGAAGTTCAACATACAGTGGTACCCTGGAGATCGAACTTAATTCGTTCCAGAAGGCCATTAGAACACAGATTTGTTCGAACACCGAATGAATTTTCCACATAAGAATGAACGTAAATGACATTAATTGGTTCCAGACACAAGAAATCTCTCATTATAAAGCATTTTTACACAAAGTTTACAGTAATTGCATGCATAAAATCATAGCACACAAAAACAAGAAACAATAAATGAATGGAATAAATGAAATTATTAACATTGAACTTAACTTTACCTTTAGCGAGGAGAGTTGATGGCTTGAGTGGAAGGTGGTGAGGAGGAGGAAGTAGTAAAACCTTTGGGCAAGTGCCATGCACGCTGGCCATACGCGTCTCAGCCGTGCAGGTTCAAGTCGCGTTTGCCCGTTCGACCTCCGAAATTCGTTCGGGTTTCCAGGGCAAAACATGTTCGGAAATATCGTTCGAACACCGATTTGTTCGAGTTCTCGTGCGTTCGATTCTCCGAGGTTCTACTGTACATCGGAACATTCATTTAGAAGTATTTTAGCATTTGGCAGTTGTCGGTGTTTGACTTGGGGTTGGTTGTGCGGTGGTCACGAGTTGCTGCTCCATGTCAGACGAGAGTGGCTGCCACTGTCAATAGGGCAGCGTGTGAAGTGGAGCATCGCAAGCATCGCACATCACAACACAGACCTATAAACAGGGGCATCCAAGCGGGCACATCTGTCGTGCTTTGTAAAGCGTTACAGAAGTTAATTGTGTCGGGCGGTCCATTGGTTTCCAAAGGGGATGACGGGGCCGGTGGTGTGGAGAGTGGCCGAGTCGCAGCCGAAGAAGAGAATTTGGCCAAGAATTAACTTCCGTAGGAGGAGATGGAACGATGAAATCGGCTCTGGCGTGCAGAGTTGCTCGGTGGATTCTTGCAAATCGGGATCACGGCAGATGGTGACGGCTTGATGAGCCCTCCGACTCGCAGTGGAATGATCTTGGCTTATTGGAGGTTTAAGATTATTTTTGGTTAACCGAGCAAAAACAACACGGCATGCAGGTTCAATGATAACGGAGGTCGTCTAGAATGTTCGGAATAGTGTCTGCTGTAGTCACGATGGGCAACTTGTGATCTGCCACGGGAGAGTTATTGTTTTTTTGTGTTATAGCCCCCAAAATCTTTAAATTTTAAAACTTTAAGAAGAGTTAACATTTCCCTTAATTCCCAACAAAAAAAAAATTGTCAAAATATGATTGCAATAGCTCTCTAAACATGTCTCAGGCTGATATTAAATTATTATGTGGATGTCTTTGCCGAGTAGAGAAATGTTGCATCGGGTGTCTGGATATGTCGTCACAGCCTATGGATGTTTAATTGCAGACGTAATCCTTGAGAGTGGAATATGCCGGACAGATATTTATAACTCGGGGTTCCTACCTGAACAGTGTTGCTTTTCGCCACGTTCATTGCCATCAGTTCCAGACAATGTTGGTTTCCATTCAGCGCATTATAAATGTTGCGCATTTTATGATCGTTTGCCGCACGTGTTGATAGTAACTGCTGCATTTTCTTTCTCCCACCGTAATGCCGAATAGATGGACCCGGCGTCCGTCTTCATGTGAAAGCAATGATCATGAACGGTGGTGGTGAAGCGAAAATGAGTGGAATATAAAATCCCTCGTTACTCCACAACAGCGGAATGTGGATAAATATTTGACAGTGGCCAATTGATGGGCCACCAGCGGACCTGATCTAATCATTTCACACGATGCTCGGCAGCATGCCTCCCAGCCACGGGAATCGAACGTTGGTAACCTATGCGTGTGTCCCGTGACGAGAAGCTGTGTGACGTTTAAAAGTGAGCCGTGACTCCTTCAATCATCGCTACAGGTGTATCTGCAGACCCTGAGGATCGGCAGACTTAAAATATTCATAAGGGGTGGCAAAGCAGGATTTGGAATTGCTTGAATGTTGAAACCGTGACGGCAATGCCATGCCTGCCATAACACATTCCTGCGGAGGGAGCTGGTAGGAACGTTGGGTTGCTCGGTCAATGGCCAGGGTCAACGGCGGCGTGGTGTATTCCACAAATATGCCCGACTGTGAGGGCGGGCACAAGCCGGCGTGAGTAGGTTAAATGTTGAGTTTTATAAGGGCACCACGGGGTGACCAGCCCCTCCCCACCCCTCCCACCCCCCACGCAGCTCCACCCTCCCTACCCAGCCCCTCTCCACCCAGCCCCACCTCTCCCATTTTTGGATTCACGACGGACGGACGGACACAATAATCCCCTGTGGGCTGGTGTAACCAGGAGGTTCCTACCAGTAACATGAAGGTTTACAACTCCCTTTTGTTGGATATGAACGTACAGATATTTGTATTGAAATTGACTCCTCGATCATGATTGGGTTTGTATTATTCGATAAACGCCAGGCTATCGGTGTATCTGAATTGAATACAATCTCACTTATATAATAGAAATTTCAATTCTTTATAACTTATTTTTGTGTTTAGTTTGGTGTCCTTCCCCCGCACCTCCGATGAGTGCGGTTGGCTCGTACGGTGCGAAAGAAGTTCAATTTATACTGCGTCATGCGAAGTATTTGTTTTCGTTTTTTTCAAAGCATCAACAATTTAAATGTAAAATATCCTGTTGTGGAAACATGGTCTTGCCACATTCATCTCAAAGTTTCAATGCGTCTTTTTGCTTAACATCATCGCTCGGCAAGCCGCTCGATTGGAACGGCACGAGCGGAAGAATTGGTGAAGCGCTTGGGAATTGTTGCATTCGGATCCCGCTGCGTAGAGGATGCTTTTTAAAACAACTTAAACTGTGTTTTTGTTGTTAATTTTACCTGGTAAAGCCCTTTTTCAGAAGCGACCTGGCAAACCGCAAATGAGAGCTCAACGAAGTGGCTTATCGCGTGTAAGATGTATAGCAACAAGCCGTGTACTCCTCAAAGCGTGATGCTCATTTTAAATGTGTCGGGGGGGAAAAAACCCGGAGAGACGTGAAGAAAAATCCACGCGACCACGGGGAGAAAGAGAGAGACATGCACTTTGGGGGACATCCTCGTGTTCAGGTGTTCCCGATTACTTTAGTCCATCCAACTGTAACGCAACCCGCACCGTTACTCCGA